ACAAGCAAACCAAATTTTATCACTTGTCATGATGATACTTGATACGCCACTGCATGTAAGGGCATGTTCGAAAGAGTAAAAATTACTTTTTTATGTTTCAAAATAATTTTAAAACATGTATTTAGTCACTAAAAATTAATTTAACGTTGGATTTTTTATGTTTAAACACGACATTTATTTGATATTGAATGATCAAACGTATGTTGTGATGTGATATATATAATTTAGACTCGTTTCAAAATCACTTCTAAACATGACCTATTAGATCTTTAGGGTCAATTTCACTATTTCGTTTTTTTTTTTTTTTTATGATGGGATTATCAATAAATTAACCACTAAGCTTCTTCATTATTCATAAGCTTTTTTTTATCTAGTTATAAAGTTAAACCACTGGTTCTATTTTAGTAAATACTTAAATGTACCTAATCAGTCTAGTTTCACACTTTGTATTTTGTTAATATGCATTATTATAACTATTTTGCAAAGTTTCAGGAAAAACTATCATCAAATAAAACATTATTGAGGGTAGATTAACTAAATATTAATATGTTGAGTGAAAGATTCGAATCTTTAATCTTTCGATCTATGAATAAGCGAATGTATTTGTCAAAATCAATAGTGAATTTATTCATTTGTCAAAATCAATATATGAAACTATGTAAAATCAAGCATTACGTCTAAAATAGTTTGTTCATAAAAAGTTTTCTCTAAGTTAAAACATTAAATCATTTTGGCTCTTTCATATAAAAATTTTATGAATAAGGTTCCTTTCTATAATAATTTTAGTGAATAAGTTTCTTTCTCGATTTTGCATGTCAATTGTCAACTTCTCTATCTCATATCATAACAGCCAAACCTGCATGTCAATTGTCAATTTCTCTATCTCATATCATCACAGCCAAACCTAATCGCTATTCCACCAACTTACACCAAAATGAGATGACCTAACCATCGTTTTACTCTTCAAAATGGCATGGCCAAAGTCCAATTGGAAAAGAAGGGGAGCAAGTTTGACAAAAATGAACATTCACTCAAACTAATCCTTGTAGGATTTGTTCTCACCCATAGATCATCGATGGTCCAATTTTTAACCGATGCTTATTTTGAGTAATATACACTTGTTAGATAAATAACAATAAATTTTTTAGAACAAATGTTCAATGAATATATAAATAATGAAGACAAAAGATGATTGAAAATTCTGTTCATCACCATTCTCCGAAATAGCAACCCTCATTTTGAAGATAATGCTAACATAACAGTTGAATTTAAACAGGATTGGGATATAGAATTTCATTCCCATTTCTAAAAATTTGAACTTTAAATGGGTTATAATTAGTGGCAGGCAATGATTCTTGGTGACCTTCATATTTTTCTCGTAATTATATGCTTAGTGAGTTACAAAATATCTGCCGGGCTTGCAGACTTGCACCTTGTTCAGGGGAACTACCGATAATATTTTCAATGAACAGTATATCCTATAGGATTATGACTTCAATGAATAGTTCAAAAATACAGCTAACTCATGGGCACTTTTAACCAAATAGGTCCAAACAAAAATGGTTATAAAATATAAAAAACAGGGACTGCAATAAACAAAATTTATCACTTAGTTTAGAAAGATTCTGACAAATTTAAATGTAAAATATAAAGTTCGAAAAATTCTAGATCGAAGGAGTAATATCTTCCAGCTAAATTCTCCAAACAGAATGCAGTTAATAACAATACCAAAACAGAGAGAAACATCACCGGAATCATCGGTACCGACGGAGGGAGAGAGTGTTGTTCCTCTTCCAGGTTGCCCTGCGAGAAGGCCTGGCCTTGTGGTGTAAGTGTCCCTTTCCACGGAGTCCCCTGTACTTCTTGCCGGCGGATGTAAGTCCTCTGAGCTCCCTGTGCTTGTGGACTGGATTGCAGATCCAGTTGATTCTTGGGTCATTGCGAACAGCATTATGAGCAACATCCACCAAAATCACCTCATAGTACTTGTAAGTAGAATCCTGTTTTCAAATTCAATAACAATCAGAACAGTAGAGCAGAATGAGAACGATATGCAAGGAATTAATATCTTGTACTCAATTTCATATTCATTTACTGCTACAGGCCTCAGGTTATCAAATGAAAATAGGAGGTAGAGAATATAACCTCGTTGATCCAGTAAGAATTGAGAACCCTCAAACCACCCAACTTTCGCCCTGCTCGTTCTTCTGCAACGGATCGCTTGCTGCGCTGAAACTTCAATTGGGTAACACCCTGGTTGGTCGGCTTTCCATACACAATACCCTTGGGAACTGGCCTCTTCCTACCCCCACGTCTCACACGGACTCTGTATACCACATAACCCTGCAAATAATTTCGTTAGTAACCATAAAAGGCTGAAAAGCAAATGACGCTCTTAGTACGAAAATACCAGACTCAAACAAACGTGATAATAACATAAATATATTTTATTTTTCTTGAAAAAATATACTGCCGAACTTTAATATTGAGCGCAAAGCCATCAATCAAACAGAAACAATTCTACCAATCCCTATCAAATCATGGCAGGTGCGAAAAACCAATCCGATAGAAATAAGAATCAAAGACTTCATGAGTTCGACCTCGAAAATTTCAGGAAATCTAGAACTTCTAAATAATATCATAAGAAGAACACTCAAACAAATGAACTAGCAAGATCCAGAAGAAGAGAATTAGTTAATTGCACAAGAGAAGTGCAACAAAAATAGTGTGCAAAAGTGACGGCCTACAAAATACATCCGAAAATGACGAGACAGATAAATATGGGAACAAGGCAACACAGAAAGAACTGAATCTTAAAATGGTAAGAAGTTTTGAAACCTGCTTGGCCTTGTAACCGAGACGGCGAGCCTTATCAGGGCGAGTGGGGTGATTGACGCGGACAATGGATGGATGTTGGCGATACTCCCAGCATCTCACCCTCTGTAGAAACCTCATCACATCGGATTGCTTCTTCCTCCATAACTCCGACACGTACTTGTACGCCCCTATTGTCCAAATTCCAAGAGAAACCGAACGAAATCCAAACGTTCAGCATAAAAGAAAAACAGTTTTCACATTATCAAAAAAGTACATTTAACAGTCTTAAGCTTCTCCACAAACCAAAACTAAAAGATTACTCGAGAGTAAGAATGAAAATCAAAACAGCAACAAGAATATCGATTCGGAAACTTGTAACAACACCCTAATACTCTTAGCAAATTGAAACGAAAATGGAGAGTAGAATGAACATATCAAAGAAACCCCCTAGAGCACGAGAGAGTACCCATTGGATCGGAAGGAGAACTTGCAGGGAGGATTCACCAACTAGGGTTTTTGTTAAGAGAACCACAGTTTATATAGAGCGATTTATCCCTGTTTCCGATCTGGACCGTCCATTTTGCCCTTTGAACGACGTCGTGTTGCCCATCCCTAAAAACACACCTTGGGCTTCGAATGTTAGGCCCAACTCATCAATGGGCCCATTTACAAAAGAAAAAAAAGATCTCGTTGGGCTTTATTAACTATGAGCCCATATTTCAAAATTAATTTTTTAATTTTTAAAAATCATATGTTTCCCGTTGCCTGATGGACTGGTTATATCGCTGCAAAATTAGCCCATGCGCTGTCTTGAGACATGGGTTAGTCTCGATATAACTCAACTGGTTAAGATATTATACATTTGTCTTGACGTCAGTATACAAATATATATACACAAACGTACGTACATATGCATTCGTTCTTGAATTTTTATGATAGTAACGATTTAGTGCTTAAACTTTAGTATGTAACAATTTAGTCCGTGTCCGCCAAATTGTTCATTAAATTTTATGATGCAATTGTAATGTAGCTAAGAAAATTATAAATGCAAAATTATGCTTAATAGAGTCGAAGTTGTAAAGGGACAAGAATCAACTCCTCTATTCTATGTCTTGTCGTTGATCTTAGATATCTTCGATAATGAGCTAAACGTCGCTCTCGAGCTTATTCTTTCTTTTTAGAAGGTTCGTAGTGCTATTCTTAGCATTGTTTCACTATTAGAATAACGACCATTTCTCTAATTCACGACATTTTTCTTTTTTTTTTTCTTGTGCAGTCATTGTTAGGTCTTATATAAAAATCCAATGAAAAAAATTAAAAGAAAAAATAACGACCGAGTTTCACTTTTACGATCATGATAAGGTTTTGTTCAGGGTGGAGTGTTTCGAAAATCTATATAGTTATGTTACAAATGGGGAGAGAACTACTAAAACTAGAAACCTATATTGCATGGTGCGTTGTGCACTCATGCACCAATTGTCACTGCCATGTTTATCAAAGCATATTGTCTATGGGCCCATGTCAGATGCACAGTCATGCTTGTTTAAGATGTGTTGTCTAAGGTCGCATGTCTATTTCAAACTCATTTTACATACTTTCATCTTAGATAGGCCTTTACTAATAAAATTAGTTCACCGCTCTTCTACACCCATCAGAGCTAAAATCCCCAAAATGTACTATAAAAGGATATAACTAGTCGTCACTTTTTCTCACTCGGGCCATATGCTATCAAAACCACTGTTGCCTTATAACATTGTCTACTTTCAAATTGTTTTCAACATATTTCAATTCATGTTTCCCAAGACATTTCTCTCAAATTTGACTCGAGCCTCAAGCATACACCGACGTTATTTGCAAAGTTTGAATTTCTCACAGCTAACTTGTTTGTTAGATTATAACAAGTATTGCACAATGGCTAGCCCGCTGTCACAAGAGGTATACATGCATTGAGTTGGATCAGAGAAAAATTTTAGACTAACAACAAATTTTGATGTGGTTGGATTACTGACTTCAATGACTTAATAAAACTAACAACTCAATCTAACTCTCTATTTTTGGGTTATTTTAATTATTTATAATTATAAGGTTAAAGAAGTAACTAAAATTTTTATAAAATTTAAATATCGAATATTGGTCAAAATATGTTACAAACATTAATTTTCTATCTTTATAACAATTTTTAGAATTACAGACACAAAACACCAAAAAGGAGTCCCCATTCGATCTCACTCTTTCTCGCCCAGCAACAACCATGGCGACTGCAGCCTTTGTGTCTGTAAGCCCTTTCGCCACTTCCACTCCCCGATCGTCTCCCTCCATTTCCCATCTCTCACCTCCTCGAACCATCAAATTTCCCACTTTTTATTCCAATTTTCTCAATGATCTCTCCACCACTGTCTCCCACGCGCCGTCACGTGCTGCAATTATTCTCCCTCGAGCAACCGCTACACCGTCCTACGCCGTTTCTTCAAGCACCGTATTTCACGGCTTCTGCTATGTCGTCGGAGACAACATCGACACGGACCAGATTATTCCGGCTGAGTACTTAACCTTGGTCCCTTCAAATCCCAGCGAGTACGAGAAGCTCGGATCTCACGCCCTAGTTGGCCTTCCTTCCTCTTATTCCACACGCTTCGTGGAATCTAACGAGATGAAGACCAAATACAGTATCATAATTGCCGGCGACAACTTCGGTTGCGGTTCTTCACGGGAGCATGCGCCGGTTGCGTTGGGAGCATCCGGTGCGGTGGCTGTGGTTGCTGAATCGTATGCGCGTATATTCTTCAGAAACTCGGTAGCGACTGGAGAGATTTATCCCTTGGAATCGGAAATTAGGATCTGCGATGAATGTAAGACTGGCGATGTGGTGACTATAGAGCTCGCAGATAGCCGCTTGATCAACCACACGAGGGGGAAAGAATACAAGCTCAAGCCTATTGGGGATGCAGGTCCTGTCATCCAGGCTGGAGGGATCTTCGCATATGCAAGGAAGACGGGTATGATTCCAAGCCATGCGCAGTGAAGTTGAATTTAAGATTGTAGTGATCGTTTCTTGTTTGTTTGTTGGAGTTATTTCTCTGCTTGCTACTGAGCTTAGAATTCTGTAGAACTGTCTGTCTTTGATAACAATAATGAATCAACAATTCGGACTGAATTTAGGAAGCAAAAATGATTGCTCTTAGAATTGAAGTCTGAAAGGAGTCTTGTGTTGTTAGCTTAGCTTCTTTAGGAGGAGGCATTGTGTCAACATGTATTACATGTTTTGGAAAGTTTGATTTTGAGATGTTATATTTTTCAGTATTTGCTTCTGTTAAAGTTCTGATCTCTTGCTAATTTATGGACAACTTGGGGATTTTATTCCCATTGTGGTGTTGTGGTGAGGTGGGTGTAACAGCACAAACCCCCACCATTACCGTTAGCAGATATTGTTGTTTTTGGGTTTCCCCTTTCGGGCTTCCCCTCAAGGTCTTTGAAATGCGTCTTAGATAGAGGTTTCCACACCTTTATAAAGAATGCTTCGTTCTCCTCCCCAATAGATGTGGGATCTTACAATCCACCTCCATTGGGGTTCAGCGTCCTCATTGACACTTGTTCCCTTCTCCAATCAATGTGCGAACCCTCAAATACACCCCCCTTGGGAGCTAGCATCTTTGTTGGCACACCGCCTTGTCCATTCCTCTTTGGGGCTCTGCCTCCTCATTGGCACATGACCCGGAGTCTAGCTCTGATACCACTTGTAACAGCCAAAGTTTACCGCTAGCAGATATTGTCTTCTTAGGATTTCCCTTTCGGACTTCCTCTCAAGGTTTTTAAAACGCGTCTGCTAAGTAGAGGTTTTCACACCCTTATAAAGAATGCTTTGTTCTCCTCTCCAACTGATGTGGGATCTCACAATGTGAGTCTTGGTTGGTTGGTTGGTTGGTGACGGGTACCCCGCACAATAGTATGACATGGTCTATTTTCGGCTTAAAGCACCCATGTAGTCTCGGTAAGATACTGTACTTGTATATTTAAGGCATGCTCCACTTTTAAGCAATATCGACTATGTGTTCACATTCCTAATATTTGAGAGCGCTTCGATGGATTTTTACACCTTTTTGCTGGTTGCAGATGGTTTAGTATTCACTCTCCCTTCTGATTTTTATGTGATTTCAATGTAAATGAAGTCCTGTAGTTCAATTTTGGCACTAATCAGTTCTACTAGAACTTGTGGCCTAATAGTCGAGTGATTGAGGTAAGCCTCAGCTCTAGCTGAATAAGTTGTCTGAGTCTGAGGTTACTTGTTCATGGGGAAGGTGATCTAAAGATGCTCAAACTAGTTATGAGCTATGGCTTGGCAAGGGAATGTAGCCACCAATTTTACTCTGCATTAGGTATTTTTTGATTGATAGGGCTCGTTATATTGAATCATTTTGCTCTTTGGCAACTAGAGTCTCTGAGAATGAGCTTTCTGGTTCAGGCTAATAGTTCTCTAGGGTCATGATCATGAACGATAAGAGAGGTATGCTGGTTCTTTGATCAACTTGTGGCTCATATAATGCAGTTGGGTATTTTAGAATTCAAGCTCCAACTTAAACCTTCGATCGTCCAGCGACTATTCATTCTGTTATCATACAAAATCGGAAGCTTCTCGATCTCATAGGACTGATTAGAAAGAAGACAGAACAAACTGGATTGGAGAAAGAAAATTGAAATCGTTAATTTGTGCACTAATTACATGGAATGTATATATGAGGAATCATGACATTTCTAGATTGTCATGAAAAACTCGGATCACAAGGAATTCTATCTCACATTGACACGAGTCCTTTGAGCTATGAAATCTTAATTTTATGTGATATCACCATGCATTTTGTGGCTGATAAACTTTTTGTATGAAAGAGCTTACGCCAAGGTTCAGACTCCGTTATGGGTCAATAACATCCTATTCCTTACCTAGATTCATCGGTAATTACAGCTGAAGAAGTTCCTCGATCTTTGACTCTTGTATCCATTTTTTGAATGACAATTAGATGTTTGATAGATGCTATATCTAACCTCACTAATCTTCATCATCTCTCCTTTACCATTTCTTTTTGTGAAAGCTGGACGAAATGGTCTTCCAAATTAGTTCATGCAGGGACAAAATTCAATTTTGCATTAGTTAAATCTAATCTAATTCACAATGACACCATAAAGAAGAAACATGATTCAAGGCGAGTATAACTTATCGGTAATTAACTTATACTACTTAAGAAAGGTTAGATGTTGAAATCTCAATACCTCAATTTGTATAAAACAAATACACTAGAAAACATAAATGTCATATTATCTGTAAGAAATGTACTCCGATCACACTTAGAATAGTAGCTGGCAATATCGATACTACACGATTTAATTTGAAGTTCAAGCATGTACTTTTGACTGACCCAACACGAAATTGGTGGACAATAACCTGAAGTGTTTGGTTCATCACAAGTAGGGAGTATGAGTTTTTGCTTGAACACTTTACCCTTAATGAATTGCTACATTATCAATATATATTTTTTCCATTAATCTCTCTTCTAAAATGCTTTAGTTAAGCAAAAAAAATGATTAATGGTAATTCAATAATAAGTAATATATAGTTAAAATTTCATATAATAACAATTAATTCATAAACCAATACATCGGTTATATCAATTCAACAAAAAATCATTTGCATTTGTTAGACTTCATAACAGATTAATAGAGAAATTTCATTTTGTTCGAACATCAATAAATATTAAACATGTCGTAAATCAAGTTAGCGTAGTTAATTAAAGACATGATATTTATAAAATTAATCAAAACTCATGCCACTTCTTACATCCTTCACCTGATAACAAGTACATAAAATTCAATGCAAACCCCAAATTCATCCCAAAATAGCTGCACAACTTCAATATATAAAATAAAATGCAATAATTAACAAGAAAGAAAAAGTTTTCCAACTCAGACCCCTAAAGCTTTGTATTACTTATCCCAATTTCAGCCTACCTAAACACCCCGGGAGATTTAAAGATCTAAAATCATACATCTGTCAAGATTATTGAAGATACAATCACAACATACGCCAGAAAAAAGAAAAGTGCAAGCTGAACGAAAAACTTTGGATTTTCCCTCATGTTTGGGGATGTTACGGCCCTGCAAAATTCATACATACTTTCTCCAGTAAGTTTCAAGGCAAAAGGGAGAAGAAACCGATCATCTTCCATAGCTTCACAGAAATTTGACAGTAATTACCTCGCAATACGCTGCGAAAGTCGTTGAAATGGCAAACTCTGTATGAACACCATGCCTGGTCCTGTTAATGTGGCAGTCACTAAGTTGTCACCCTGCAATTTAACAATGGTGAGAAGGCCTCTTAGAAGATGACACAAATGTTTTCTATATAAATACACAGAATGTCTGGTTAAAGCTTTAAGAACGAGAAGTGTTCGAAATGGTTGGACTAAGTTTTCTTCTTCGGAACCAGAAGGCGCTGGTATTTTATGATTTCTCTGCAAATAACTAAAGAGGACGAAGGCCAAATGAGATATCCACCCGAAAGAAGCCCACAAAGACTATACAAATACATCCCCAAATAGCCCCGAGACTACAATTTTGAAGAATATAGCCCTACCATCATCATCAAACATAAAAGCTTGGTGTGTGTTTCGTATTTTTACTTTATTTCAAGCGAAGTGTATCCCATATCGGTTCGGCTTTTGTGTAGATAATAATCCAGACATCAAATTACGCATGGCGAACAAAGAGAAGACATGGAAAGTGAAAGCAAACTCCATAAAAATAAAGAACTCTTACTCCAAATACTGCTCTTCTCACAGGACCATTGTATTTAATTTGGACATCAATGGTGGTGGTCATAGCCACAATGCAGGAGATATCCACTGCTAGTACTTCACCAACCTCGAGATTTTTCTGTACAACTAGCATAACCCAAAAAACTTTCATAATCAGTAGACATATATTAACATTATTTATTTTAAAAGCAGAAGGCTTTTTCTTCAAATAAAAATACTAATTTTGAATTGTCTAGCTGAAGCATGAAGTGCGTTTCATCTTGAAGATTAAAATAAATATTTTGATATAAATAATGTGATCTCCCTCCCCCTTCAAGCCATTATATATATCATACCTAGTAAATTATGAACCAAAAATCTCGGACGGAAAAACAAACACCAGCACGTAAAGTAGTATTCCATCTACTTGTTGTGTGATTAAAATATAATTCCAATATAACATAATAGCATCTGACTTGGTACTGTCAAGGTCAGCAGTTGTGATTTCACCACAATACAAGTGTGGAAATAAATCATAATAACAAATTGAACACCTTGGATGCTCTAGCCGACAGGTTGAGGTCACATGAAAACTCAAAGCAGAAACTTCAGGCTTGTTTTCCGTTTTCACGATTGCATAACGAATGCAAACAGTCCTTTGGAGAATTTGCTAAAATAAAATGAAAGGTGAGAAGTGCATACCTGATCCACCCCCAAGAATAAAGGCAAGTCCTTGGCCTGATAACTTCTGTCTAAGAAACCCCTACAATAACATCCAGAGTACCGAGAGAAAGGAAAAATAAATAACATTAGGAAGCACAAAAATGAATACCAGAAAGCAGAGATATATGGAGAAGTATAGCCAATAAGGGACAATAAATCAGCGTACCTCCACACCTGTGACAACATTGCGTACTCTGTGATCAATTGTGTTGTTAACTTTCACATCATTAACAGAGCAAAGGAATGCATCTGGCTACGTATAAAAAAATGAAGCGAAGATTATCAGGCAATGGAGCTCAGAAGAATAAGATTGAATAATTGAATTAAAGTAACTAAAATTCCAATGTCTTATACATATAAATTTAATTTATTTCCATCAGCGATTAAGAAAAGTAACAGAGAGAAGCTATTAAGCAAATAACAAATAAACAATATTCTCTACCTGGCATAGAAGCTCTCCACCAAACATCGCCATATCAATCTGCAACATAATTGTAGAAACATATATGACATTGAGGATAAATTGGAATGTTCTACATAGAAGCTAAATTCGATTGATGAAAGCTTTTTATTATATTTTAATTATTATTATTATTATTATTATTATTGTTATTATTACTTTTTTTTTTTTTTTTTTTTTTTTTGTTAAAAAAAGGAAAACAAAACACAGTACAAACCGGAAGGATTCTAGCAAGAGAAGGTGCAGTAATTCCAACATATCCATCACTTGTACCGGCATTCCGAAGAACGATGCTAGTAACACTCTTGCCAAATAGCCAATGCCAAACACCCACTTCGTTTTCGGGGAGAAAAACATTTTCCATCTCAATAGACCCAGACATGAAGCACATGGAGCCTGCAAGAATAAGTGTATCAGTTGCACATACAATTAGCAAGTAACAAAGAAACAAGAGAACCTTTTCCCATAAGAAAAAGTAGATGAACTATAAGGAAACCTCAATTCTCATAAACAAAAATAAGAAAAATTGTCAAGACTATCATTGCAAGTTTCATATGAACATTAGTAAATTTCAGTTAAAACAGCAGATAAAGAACATAAAAAAATCATCATATTGGAAACGCTCTGTATACCTAATACCGATGTCTATTTACCAACACTATGGAAAGAGAACTTGAACTACTATTCACAAATTAGAAGGGTCTATGTTTAGGAAACAATCCTTTTATACAAGTGTGTCAAGATGGTGAGAACATTGTGTACAAATTAAAAGCATATCAAACAAATGTTTGAGGCAATTTGAGGTCGATATCCCAAAAAGGTTAAACAAGAACTTGACCTAAAGAAAGTGTTATAAGAACTAGAAACTATATTCTAAAAGCTCAATAACGTTTCTCAATAAAGAGACAGAAACCAAAACGAGTGTATCCAAGAAAAAAAAAAATCATTCTAACACTACTTACCAGGCCTTGCAATAACCTTCTCTTGTGGCTTCAGCATTATCTGCCAGTGCAGGATGAAAAAGAAAATAAAGAGAGTTACAGTACTTGAAGAGAGACAATAAATGTGAAAAAAGTTAACCATGATGCCACTATGTGACACGCAATAACAATAATAATATATTATATACCTGTACGACCTGGGCTTCACCACCCAAAATCTGAAAAGGTATCATTGCATCTTGTGGGCTCTACAACATGAAGGAAAAAAACTACTGTTAGTAAAACAAAAGTAATAAACATCATACAATAGATTTCAATACAATAAAGCTTCATGAGAGTTAATCCTTCCAAATCTTCCAAATCTACATTAAGAGGGAGAGATTTTATTCAAAGCCATTCATATTTGTTTTGCTTTAAATAGGATGGCATCTAATGTGTGCTTCCCTATTTGGCTATTTTAATGCCAAGCTGTCTCAGAGTGGTTAATGGCCTGTCATCAACCCATATCACCTCCTTTCAGGCCTGTTGACATATCACACACATGTATTCTTAGTGTAAGGACGGTCATGGGGCAATGTCTAAAATTTTTCTTTTCGTTTTATGCCTTCTTAAATTGACATCCAATATTTTTGGATTATGCCAACGTCGATCCTGAAAGAGTTGGATGTTTGACTTGCCTCTTTAAACTAGCTTTTGGAGGGGGACGGCCCATTTGGCCAATGGGTGGTATTACAGCCTGGGTTATAACAATTTACTCAAACAGTCTATACACTCTACAGACTTGTAGAGATTAGGTAAATGGTGATCCAACACAATGAACCAATAACTTAGGAGAGATTGTTGGTTTATACCTCATTGGTTGTACAAAGAATTTGATGTTGGTTCGTAAATGCTTAAATGGCTCACCTCTGTCATAGAGTTAAAAAGGCCCA